GTGCCGTGGGTCGGGACGCTAGAGCCGTTGGTGTAGTTGCCATATCCTGGGGTGTCGCAGTGGATATACTCGGTGGGCGGTTTGGGCTCACGGCGCTTGCGCCGAAGGACAAAGAAGGCGATCACAGCGATGACGACGACGACGCCGACAGCGATGCCAACAATAAGCCCCGTGCCTACACCACATGGTTAGTAGTGGTGGTCGCAAGGACGACGTACTGCTGCCACCCGGCGTCGGTGGCTCTGTCGTTGTCGCATTGCCTAGTCGTCGAGAATGAGACTCCAGTCGCTACGACAGAGCGCGTCATAGTACCTGACCCGCCCGTGACGCACGCCGTGACAGAGACCTTGGACGTGCTTTCCCAAAGCTTCTGGATGGACCCGCCGGCCGCCGTGCACGCAGCAGCGTTGGACGCCACGGGGTAGTTGATGGTGTAGCCCGCCGGCGTGTCGGTCTCGTCGTCGCCGTTCCACGGCTGGAGCTTGTTGAGGGCCGTGTACGAGGTCGCATCGAGGTAGATATCGGAGAGCTTGGAGCAGTTGAGCATTTTTCTATTATTCAACTCAGCACGCGTAGCCACAGAGCGATAGCGTACACAAAAGCGATGTCGGAGAACTGGACAGCACTGATCTTGGTCAAATCTTCGTTGTTGGACATGTACCTGCATCAAAAATTGAGAAATGGTTTTGAGAAGCGAGTGGAGACCTACAGGTATTTCACACTGCGCAAGTCGGCGTTGACAAGGGTCTTGAAATTGTTGGCTGCAATGTTCCTACAAGAGAAGGAGCAGTGGGAAACGCGAATTTTGCACATCAAATCGTACAAAAACACGAGCTTCTTGGGCAAGTAGACCAGGTCCGTGAGGTAGTTGCTCTGGATCGCACTAGTCGCAAGCATCAGACACCGCAACGAGCTCGATCGAATCTCATACAGCTGCGTGAGCGTCGTTGGAAGGTACTGCGGAATATTGTTCATCGCATTGTTGCTGAGCACGCTAGAGGAGAAGCGCATGAGCTGCCTGTGCACTCGACGCAAGACGTACACGAGGTCGAGGTTGGTCGGCCACACAACGCCGACGTTGGGAAAGTTGACGGGGCTGTTGAGAACCATCCTAGTTCTGTATAAGCATCGGGGTGTGTACGTGCCACGTACAAGGTCTTGACCGAGCTCCACTGCGTCAGCGCCGTGTTGGCCAGGTCGATCTTGGTCACATTGTCAAAGGTCCTAGCGTCGACGGGTGGTGAGCACACACACGACCGCGATCGCGAGCGGACAAGGTGGTCACGGTGTTGGGCAAGCTCATGCGTGCGATCGTGAGCGACGGCGTGTCCTTCAGCGTCCTACGCAGCGTCGTCAGGACGCGTGCATATAGCTCGCACGTACAGGTTTGTGTACGTGTAGTCGGCCAAGTTGCCGACGCCCATCCAGCCCGAGAAGGACGAGATCGCCGGGTACGTCTTGGTCGCGGTGCGATCGCACGTGTTGGTGGTTGCGCACGTCGTGAGCGACGACGAGCAGTTGCCGTCAGCGACGATGATCCACCCGCTAGGGTAGTCCTTGTACGGGCAGACCGCTGCCTGGACGCCGACGACGGCGACGGCGGCGAGGAGCTTGGCGGCGAGCATGCTTCTTGGCGAGTGCGGAAGAGGATCAGCTGCTTCGTTACTGCCCACTGGACGCACAATCGAATGCAATTTCCACCCGTGAAAAATACAAAAACACGCACGTGAGGGCTTTTTCATTCCGTTTTTGTATGTCATCATGTGTGAAACTCTGGAGCCAATGGCATATGCCAAACGTGGCAGCGTCTCGGCTCGCCATACGACGCTGGTTCAAAGATTTCGAGGGACGACGACCACGCCTGTCTGTGAATCAATTCTGAATTCCTTGGACAGTTTGACAGTTGCAGCGTTCATGCAGAGAACACACAGCTCTCGTGACGAGCGCCTTGGTGGCACATTGGCGGAACCTTGGGAATCGACCAAAGCTCGACTAAAACCAGTCATGGCTTCTAGGGTGTAGGGTGGGGTGTCCCATACGACACTGCAAGCCTCGTCTGTTATTAGCAGCCGGTCAAGCGTGGAACGTTGCCAAGCTGTCGTACGCGGTTGTGCTGTCACCAAACACACACAATTATGTTTCTGCTCGTCCATGCCATGTCGTCGAGGTCGCCCAACCAGCTCCCATTCAGCTCCAGCGATCGATGCCAAGCCCTCCTGTGCTAGTCGAGTGACGTGGAATCCAGTGGTGGAGGCTCGGTTGCGACGACACGCACGCTGTGTAAATCCCGTTGTTTTTTCCGGCCAATCAGGTCCATCCGACACGGCAAAGCACACTTTTTTCAAAAACATTTACTACCAAATGTATCAAGTTGAGGAGTGGCCGGCGCGCGTTTTGCATGGAAGCGCTCGTGCTTGCACGGCGGCGCGGGCTCGCCGTTCTTGAGCGCGATCGCCCAGCTCAGCGCCGGTGCAATCGACGCCTGGTTGTCGCCCACCGCATACGCCATGTGACCCGCAAACATGAGCGCCTTGTGCTCAATGCCGTTGTCGTTGATCGTCACGTCGACAGTAAGGTACCCCGGTGGGATGTCCTCCATGTCTACGAGCGGGTAGTCGTACGGGACGCGGACCTCGACGTAGTCCGAGGCTTTGTTTCCGTCATATTCGGCATCGGGTTTGAGCTCCCAGCGCATCTCGGACATGTGGTCGCCTTGCCACTCGCCCTTGTCGTTGAAGACACAAAAGACACTGATCCAGCCGTTGAGGTAGCTCGGGCCCGACCCGCCGCCTTCCTGGTTGCAGATGCGGTCCCAAAACTTCACGTCCGGTTGGCCCTTGGCTTCCACAAACTGGTCGAGGATTGGTGCCAGCATCGACGTCCACTGCGTCATGTGCTCGCCATAAACTGAGAGCTTGTCGAGGCGACGGCGAATGTCGAGCCAGTCGTCGACGGTACCGAGGAGCGTCACCTGCGGAATGCCGCAGCGGAGGCACATCTTGTACGAGAAGTACGTTTTCATCGTAGTCATGAGCACGACGCTGCCGACAATGATGTCATTGTCGGTCGTTGTCGAGAAGGACGGGAGCACCCACTGCTTGAGGCTAGGGTCCACAAGGTGCTCGTCCATCTTGTCGACGAATTGCTTGGCGAGTGGGCCAAAGTCGGCAGTGTGTAGCGTCCCGCTAGCGTACACCACCAGTGCTTTTTCACCGCCGTGCTTGACGAGCGACGACCGGAGCTCCTCGGCGTGGCCGTCCACGTACGTCCCAAACTGGATGAGAATCGCGAGCCAAATGTCATCGGGTCGAAGCACAAGGTCGACGTGGTGGTTGTACGCTTGAATGACGCCGCGAACAAAGCCGCTCTCCGAGGCGACGACGGG